TCACTTATTGGTGGGAGCTAAAAATAAATAAATAAATTCACACACACACACACACACACACAAAAAAAAAAAAAAAAAAAACCGGGGGGGAGAAGAAGACATAACAATTATAATTCCTTGAAGTTGACACGACAAGCATACAGAAAGGACATTGTTGGGTAGGAGGGGGGAGAGGGAGGAGGGAGGGAGGTTCAGTGATGGGCCACAATAATTGACCACATTGTATATCGACAAAATAAAATTTAAAAATAAATAAATAAAATTTCCTCTAAACACTGCATGAACCCTGCATCCTATAAATCTTGATTTGTGGTAGTTTGATTTTTATCTCATAGTACTCCCTAATTTCCTTGTGATTTTTGTTTCTACCTATTGTTTATTTAGGAGATTGTTGTTTAATTTCCACACATTTGTGAATTTTCTCTTTCCTTCTGTTAGCATGGTCAAAGAACATATTTTCTATTATTTTCTATGATCTTAGTATTTTTAAATGTATTAAGATTTGTTTTGTGGCCAAAAATTAAAAAAAAGAAAAGAGAAAAAAAAAAAAGAACAATATAAGTAAATGTAAAATCACAAACCATGACAACAGAGGGAAAAAGAGGAGCAGGATGCTAGGAGAATGCAAAAATCAGCCCTGGGGCCGATAGCTTTCTACATCACTGGGAGGAGCAGGTCTCCTTTGTGGGAGTGGATCATGAAGGAATAGAGGGATGCTCATCCTTTGAATCCCTGCACTGTGCCATATTCTTCACACACCTGAGTTTATTTAGTATGCACGACCTTTCTTCCTAAAGATGAAGGTGAGGGCTGGCCCGTGGCTCACTCGGGAGACTGTGGTGCTGATAACACCAAGGCCACTGGTTCGGATCCTATATAGGGATGGCTGGTTAGCTCACCGGTTGAGCGTGGTGCTGACAACATCAAGCCGAGGGTTAAGATCCCCATACTGGTCATCTTTTAGAAAAAATTAAAAAATAAATAAAGATGAAGGTGTTAGTATCCCCTTTTACATAAAAGGAGAGATATATGTAGTGTTTTACGTCATCTTAAAGTGGAGTGTATTACATCATGAAAGTTGGAGGTGATTGTAACACTGGACTCATACTGAAGATTGAAAAAATTATGCAATGTAAAATGCTTAGCACATATGCAGTGCTTAATTAGTTAACTGTTGTATTAATATTTACATCATTCTAACAGATGATTTAAAAATTCTTCTTAGGGTGAGGATTGTCTTTGAGAAAAACAGTGATTAACCATCGCAGGTAAAAGGTGTGACCCAAACCAGTGGTTGTCAAACATTAGTATATTATATCTCAATATCTTAAAAAAAGATAAAAGACAAAACAAAACATGAAACCTAAATATAAGCTAAAACTATAAAACACATAGAAGAAAACTAGGAGTAAATCTTCATGACCTTGAGTTAGGCAATGGTTTCTTAGATACAACATCAAAAGCAGAAGCAACAAAAGAAGAAATAAATCACTTGGACTTCATCAAAATTTAAAACTTTTG